GACTGTTGGACCGAAATCCGGAATGGGGAGGCCGGAGTGTGAAACACGGGGCTGCCGGGTCTGAGCGGGGCGCGGGCGGTGCCTCGGGGCGACCCTGCGCGTCCTGCGCGCTTCCACCCTGAAGTTCTAAGCCTTCGGCCCCGCTGGGGGACCCTGTCTCCACCTAAGAGGAGGCACCGCCGGTGACCCCGGGACCCCAGCGCCCCTGCGGTGTGTGTGCCGCGGCCGGGGAGGAAGAGCTGGGAGCCCTGAGCCGGAGCGACCCCCGGGAGGAGAGGCCGCCTGGGAGCCGCTCGGCGTTCTCCCGCGGAGGCGCCGGGCGGCCGCTCCTTAAGACCCGCCCGCCTCCTCCCGCCCCGACCTCCTGAAACACATTGTCTCCTGCCCGGAGGCCCCGGGGCGGAATGTAACATCTTGTAATGTGGCAATCACTGACAAACCAGTCCCCGCGAGGGGAACTCCTGCCGGGCCGCGGGGGGGGGGGGGCGGCGGAGGGAGGGGCGCCAAGGAGGGGTGTGGGCCGCTACGTCCCGGCTGCACCGGGGTGTGTTTGTGTGTTGTGGGCTGGAGGCTGCTCTCCAGACGGATCCCGGGAGGACTCCCGGGCGGCTTTGGGTGTCGCGCGGCGCCGGGAGGCAGCTGAGCCAGGGAGAGCCTGGTTCTGTAGCTAGGACCTCGCTGGAGATGGTCCCCAGGGGACCCAACTGCTTCTGAGACCCTTCCCCTCCCGCTCCACCCCCCCCTCCAACGTGTTCATCTTTTCCTGTGTTCATCTCAGGAAAAGATGGGTAGTTTGAGCCTCAAACATCTGACCCTAAACAGACTAAAGCCACTGGCGCTCGCTGTTCCCGGAGGCAAAGGAGCGGGTTTGGAGACGTGAGCAAGGGCTGGTGGCGTCAGGAGTTCGGCAGTTGTTCTGTCTGGCTTTTGGACCGGCCAAAGGGGGCCGTTTGCAGTCCCATGAACTGGGGAGAGGTTTTCTAACAGGCGGGAGAGCGAACACAGGACGCCCTTGGCTCTTCTCTACACCTCTCTCTCTCTGCTTCCTCTACCTGACAACTGTTATTCAACTTAGCTCCAACTTTCCCCCGCCCTCTCCGCCCCCAGTAAACCTGATACTTCCCCCCCAACCTCGACCCGCCAGTCTGGGAATCCTTCCTAGGCTCGGCTCTTCACAATTTTCCCAAGTGGTCCCGAGAGCAGGCCGGAGGAAAAGACTTCCAAAGGGTCCCGAGTTGCAGCCTGGTCGAAGAGGCCTGGGACGCCTGAGGCTCTCCTTTCCTCCCTCCCCAACTCCGGAGCCGGGAATTCTGGGCAGCCGGCGAGGACCAGTTCCTCCGCCACCACCCGGGAGGCAGCTCGGGGCTCGGGGTGCAGCCGAAGGGCGCGGGACCTCGGGGCGGGCCTGCAGCCGGCCCCACAGAGCCCAGCGCAACCTCTGTGTGCCCGAGCGCGGGAACGCGGGGAGCCCCTCCGGAGCGTGGAGCGGAGAAGGCCGAGCACCCCTCCCTCAGGTCCCACCGCCCCCCCCCCCCCCGGCCCCGTCTTCCCAGCGTTTGTCACATCCTGTCTCCGGCCTGATGTTTTACGCCAGTAAATGGACGGGGATTACAATGAAGATTTATGTGTGCTCGGAGCGCGGCTGGTTTCCCAGTGCAGGGAGCCCAGATCGCCGCTTCCCATTTCCATTTTTCATTCCTGCTTCGGGGAGCGCAAGTCGGTGCGGGGTGGGGGCAGGGGCTGGGGGGCGGGGAGCGTGTCTGCGCGGCGGCGGCCTGATCACAGGGCCGGGCGTCTCCGGGCGGGCCCGGAGCCTGTGAGAAAGGCTTGCCAGCGCGTCGCCCCCGGCGGGGCTGGAGCCGGACCCCACCTCCCGGAGCCCGGCTTTGTCTCCTCCGCCTCCACGCCCCCTCGCTCGCTCCGGGAACGTGGGTGCATCTCCGCGACCTCCTCGGCCCTTCTTCTTCTGGTTCGCGGGAACGCCCCCCCCCCCCCCCCCCCCCCCCCCCGGGTCCTGCACCCTCCTTTGACCGCTGCCGGGCGAAAGGCGCGTCGTGGCCCCGCACGACCCCGCCGCCGCCGAGTGCCAGGTTCGGTGACTCCGGCGAGTCTGTGGGGCCTCGGCCCACCCCGGAGAGGGGCCGCCCGCCCTCCCGGCTCCCAGGCTCGGCTCATGCCAAGGCCTGTTGCGTGATTCCAACTTGGGCTGACATTCCCTGCCCGGGGCGCTCCGGCGTAGGCCTCTTAATCATCTTGTCTGCTGCAGATCCTCGACACCAGCCAATTTACTGCCCCGTCTTTCCCGGCTGGTTTCAGGAGCCGGGGAGGAGAGTGCGCGCAAAGGAGGGGAGGGCATACCCTCACGAGAAAGCCTGGTACCAGCTATTGGCGCGCGCGGGAACACACACCACACACGCACACGCACACATCACAAGGTAGAATTTGGAAGTGGGGGAGGGCAGGGGCTTGGGAACTGGGGAAGTGGCACTGGGAAGCTCCATGTCCATGCCTTTTTCGAATACCGCAGCCCCCCTTCATTTCCAGAGACCGTCCCGGGTCACTCTGGGCAGGCCCCGGAGTCAGTTCCATCGGAAAAGTCAGTGTTAGCTTCAGGATGGCGCCACCGAGTCCAGAAAGTCACCTCCACTTTGAGGTTGCTGCTGTTGTTGTTGCTTTGTCCGTTGTTTATTTCCCCTCCCCGAAAGATGAACTGAAGTTGCACGGACGGATGACCCCCATGAACCGGAGGAGGGGAGGCCTGAACTTGGCAAGCGGGGTGTTCTGCTCTGTGCCCAGCTTCCTCTCCTGTAGAGACGGGTCCCTCAGAGGGAAGAAGCTCAGGGCACGTGGAGGAAGGGACCACCCCTAACCCTTCCACTCAAGGTGAAACTGGACAGGCCTCTTAGTGATACTGGACTTGAGAAGCAAAGGCCCTCCTCCGGTTCGGAGCACTGTGAACACAACAGGAACACGAAACACGAAACCGCCGGAATTTATCTAGTGTTTATCACGGGCGTAGTTACATCATCGCCTCATTAGGGGTTCATTAAGGCGCTCGCTGTTCTGAGCCACTGCTGTTATTGCTTCTTCTATCTCGGGGATCTGCACACCGCCACACGGAGACGCTAAGAGGGTTGCCGAAGGTCACCTAGTCAGGCGCTGACGCCGAGGAGGCTTCCCGCTGCAGCTCCTGCGGTGACAGGGCCTTTTAGTATAGACCTGCAGGGAGCGCCGGAGACTGAGAGTCCAGAGCTGGGAGCTGGTCCGGGAGGCCCGAGGCGGGAAGGAGAACCCGACGGTGTGCGGACCTGCCCGTTCTTAACAGTGTGAGGTCTAAGCGTCTGCCGTGGTGACTGCGTTTGCGTGTTTGTGTCAGCATGTAACGGGCGTGTTTTTGAAGGCAGGAGCGTGTGTGTGTGTGTGTGTGTGTGTGTGTGTGTGTGTGTGTGTGTGTGTAGTGAGCAGGACTGTGCTCTGGGGTTGCCCAACATTCCAAAGCAGCCAACCGTGCTTCACGAGGGTGACTCACTGAGTTCTGGCATCAGCCAGATCCCACAGAGCCCTGGGGCAAAGGGAGGGAGGGGCCGTTGTCGGTGTCTGGTCCCGGTCTGTGGCCGAGCTTAGGTCGGGGACAGCCGCGGTCCCCGCGGCAGCCCGGGTGCACCGCCTGGCCGACACGGTCCCCGCGGCGGCCCGGGGCGGGACGGTGGCGCCGGCGCCAGAGGGGCCGGACCGGCGGGCGGAGGCTGGGGCCGCCCGGCGCGGACTGAGTCAGGCCGCCCGAGGCTGGGGAAGCGGGGCTGAACCCATCACCGCGACCCAGCGCCGGTCTCGGACTTGTGCGTGCGTGGATCATGGCCACGGCAGCCTCGGGAAGGTGCAAAACTTCGGGCCGGTTAAGCGCTCGAGGTCCGGGCCGAGGGAACCCTGGCGACCATGGACAAAGCACACCCTCCAATGAAAACAATAATTTATTTAAATAATCTCTTCATATTGTAAAATCAACATTAAGAGTATGTTGCTTTCGTAATAAATAACCCCCAAATACCTTGCATTTCAAGAACAAAGACTTCAGGACAAGATAAAAACAAATTCAAATCAGTAGCTTAATTTAACTGAGAAAAAATTTCAAAGGGGAAAAAAAAAGAAGGGGTTGCTGAGGTCACTGCTAGGCCGCAGTTTTCACAACTGGGGGGTTTACAAAAAAGTCTGAAAAGATGAGAAATTTTGTACAAATAAATGTGGGAAAATCCGCACAGACACCCTTATTTACAAACTCTGTGTCGAAGTCCGGGTTAATAGTCCTTAATTCATCTTAAAAAAGATAATTTAAACACATTTTTTTTTTTTTTGCAGCGTCCACATATTAAAAAAATCAGTTTTTTTTTAACATCAAAATGAGGTCATCCGCAAAGGCACCTAAACTTTTAAAAAAATAAAAATAAAAAAACTCCATGGTGACGGACGAGGAGCTACCGGAGTGTTCGAGTGTTCCTGGGGAAAGCCGGAAAGGAATCTGGGGTGGCAAGAGCGGGGAGCCGCTCCCTCCCCACCCCCCAGAAGGAAAAAAAAAAGCCGGTGGGCTCGGGGGTCACGGGGGTACGTGGGGGTGGGGCAGGACCCGTGGACCTCAAGAACCGGAGCCGACTGGCGCTGAGCCCCGGGGCAGGCAGGACAGGAAAGAGGAGCTTCTGAGGGCCGGGAGCCTCGAGGGCGGGGAGGCGTCCCTGGGCCTGACCCGGCCGGGGGCCTGGACAGACCGACGACCCTGAGGAGCAGATCTCGCCGAGGGGGCCAGCCGGGGAGGGCGGCAAGTCCGGGGTGGGCCTCCGGGGCCGGGGGCGCTGGGCTTGGCACTGGAGGATCCCACGCGGCCTCCTCTTTCCTTCTTTTTTTCTTTTCCCCGTTGCTCCGTGGCGGTGCGAGGGGCGCCCCTTCCAGCGCGGCTGGGGGGCGGTGGCGGTGGCGGGCGGGGGGGGGGGGGGCGCCGCGCCCTCGCGGTTAGAAGATCGTCCCCGCGCTCACCGGGGCGGCCCCGCCGCCGGCGTGGTGGTGGTGGTGGTGATGGTGGTGGTGGTGGTGGTGTTGGGCCTGCGGGGTCTGCGACGGGTGCAGCAGCGGCGCCGCGGCCTGCAGGTGCGAGGCGGGGCCCGAGGCCTGGTGGTACCACGGGTAGCTGCCCAGGAAGGCCGAGGCGGCGCTGCTGGGGCTGGAGGCCGAGCTGCCCGCGCCGCCGCCGCCGCCGCCGCCGCCGCCGCCCGGCCC